CTCTCTCTCTCTCTCTCTCTCTGTCTCTCTCCCTCTCTCGCTCTCTCTCTCTGTCTCTCTTTCTCTCGCCATCTCCTCCGACCTGAAAAATCCTGCCATGCTGGGTTTGCGTAGACCGTCAAAATGCCCACACATGTACACGATCTGTAGTCGGGATTCGCGTGGTGGCGATTACATTGGGTTCAGTCGCCGCGAACGAGCAGTGTCGTGTGATCCAACAGGGATTTCTGTCCGTGAGTCCAATGTGTGATAGGGAGTCTATGCCGTTTGGGGTCATTTGATCGTGACGTTTGATTGCGCCGTGTGATGAAGGCGGAGATCCCCTCTCTGTCGCTCTCTCTCTCTCTCGCTATCTCTTTATCTCTCTTTCTGTCTTTTATCTCGTTCGTTTCACTGCGCTTGTCTGTGTCGTTCGCACAAAGTTAGCGAACGTAACTGACAAGCGCAGACAAACGAACAAGACAGAACCAACAGCGTCGTGTTCCACCACCATCGTCGTCAGTTTTCTATCAGTGCCTCTATGTCGTGAATCTAGTTCCATTGGCGACCACTCGCCCCGATCAGATGGCACACTCACACGTCCACGTGGCAGGTCCTGAACAAGCATGGGCTCGCTGATGGATGCGGGGCTCTATGCGGCAACAAAATGTTGTCGAATAGAGCCCCGCAACCATCAGCGTGGCCACGCATGATCAGGACTTGACACGTGGACGTGTGTGCCGTCGTGTTTAACTACCATCTTCGTCCCCGTCGTTAGTTTGTCTTCAGCGCCTCTATTTCGTTCGTCTTATGCGTTGGCCTGTTTCTTTCGCGAACTTACCTCGGGGTGCGTTTGCGGATCTCGTTCCATTGGCGACCACTCGCCCCGATCAGATGGCACAGTCAACGTCCACGTGTCAATTCCTGAACAAGCGTGTGCACGCTGATGGACGCGAGGCTCTATGCGGCAGCAGAATGGAGGCCAGGCTCCAATATAGCCCCGCACCCATCAGCGTGGCCATGCATGTTCAGGACATGACATGCGGACGTGTGAGTGTGCCATCTGATCGGGGAGAGATGAAGGAGTTTCGGGAGCAAGAATGCTTGCGTTTCATTGGCGATCACTTGCACCGATCAGATGGCACACTCAGACGTCCACGTGTCACGTCCTGAACAAGCGTGGCCACACTGATGGATGCGGGGCTCTATGCGACAACGGGGCTCTATGCGGCAGCAGAATGGATGCGAGGCTACCATATAGCCCCGCACCCATCAGAGTGGCCACGCATGTTCAGGACATGACATGCGGACATGTGAGTGTGCCATCTGATCGGGGTGAGATGAAGGAGTTTAGAGAGCAAGAATGCATGCGTTTCATTGGCGATCACTCGCACCGATTAGATGGCACACTCAGACGTCCACGTGTCACGTCCTAAACAAGCGTGGCCACGCTGATGGATGCGGGGCTCTATCTGATCGTCGCCTCGCATGTTCAGGAGCTGTCACGTGGACATGTGAGTGTGCCATCTGATCGGGGCGAGTGGTCACCAACGAAACGGGACCCGCGAATGCAGCTCGAGAATGTTGCGACACGCCCTTCGAGATTGTGTCGTCACTTCATATGTTTTCTTGAAGTGTTACTCGCTTGTCGTCAATATGTTGTCTCTCTCACGAACTGCGATATAAGGATTTCAGTCGTATGTTGTCGAACACGAGAACATGGTTTCTCACGAATCATGTCTCTTATGGATTGCACATGGAGTTTCTTCACGCCGAATTAATTTTTATTGCGCTCGGTTTGTTTATTTATTTCCCGCGTAAGTCGCGTCGTGCAGTTCACTCGGCGTTCGGATCTGTATCCGTAAAATGTCCTCCACATTCGTCGAATTTTTCACATTTCTCGCCAATCTTCCTCTCACCGACACGAACAATTTTTTCTTATATTTCTTTTGAGCCGTTTTATTAACGGGTCACATTGCAAATTCCGAAATGGACAACACCATCCGCAAGATCTGCACATGGAGAGACAGAGAGCTAAAGACAGGCTCTCTCGCTGCGCATCCTCTCCTTGTCGACGTGTCTATCGATCTTAGTCTCCCTTCCGTGTCTATGCGGGTTTTCTGCCTTTCTCCAATCTTTGTCTATCGCAGACAGTCGCTCAACCGATCTCAGGTTGGTCCCCCCCTGAGTGCAATCACAGATCAGTAATCCGAAGACTGCTATGACAGATTCGAAGACACAGGAAGCGAACGCGAATTCAAATCCTTAAACCCTATCAAACCTCGCGTCAGCCGAACGCGAGGAACCCTTCCGCTGACTTGGACACATGACAGGACACTAAGCGATCAGATGCTCATAGGGTATTGTCGACGACGACATGTTTGACCAACCAGGAGGACGACAGCCCACCCTGTCCATACCATCTTGTGGTGGCGCAACAACTGACGTATCCGAGCCACCCTTGTTAATTTCGGTTGCATCCGAGCCACAACCCACTAAAACTCACGGGGCGACCACTAACCGAGGCACCTCGATGAAGTTCGGATTAATCTGAACCACACTGACGGCAAATTTGGATTTGTCACATGCTCAGACGGTATTTACGACGCCGCGCGTTCCGATAAACGTGAACGACAAAATCACACGCTGTCAAAAGACCGTTCCGTCTCGGATTAATCCAAACCACACCTCCGAGATGATAGGGTCCACCCTCTGCTTACAGGTCATTGAGGAAAACACGCTGTGCCGATATCCTCCTCTTGTGGTCGGCCTAATTCGGATGCATCCGAGTCACAACGTCGCTCTTTCGACTCTGCCCAGTTCGGATGTGTCCGAACTACCACGCTGTCTTCGTCTTCGACCATTTGCTCTACGAAGGGCAGTCTGATGACGAGGGTCAACGATGCCTCGGATTCACGCAACTAAAATGAGTCGAGATGGTTACGCTCGGTGGAAGAAAGGCGAGCTCAAAACTTGTGCTGCGACTACAACAAACGTGTCTGTTGTTTGGATTGGGCGAGCAACAACCATACACTTCCTGATCAAGAGGTGGGCATGTCGGACGACTCGGAGGACGACCATCTGCGTGCTCGTTTGAAACCGGGCTTGCATGTATCTCGCCGCCACGGTTTGCTTGGGGAGTCGACGCCACATGGAGGCGACGATGGCGAACGGTTGCAACAGGGCTCAGAATCGACGACTCCTCGTGGTCTGGTCGAAAGGATCGGTTCGTTCGTTCGTGGCATGTAGGTGGTTGAGGTTTCGCCTGGAGATCGAGAGGGTGGTCCGGAGGTTCAGGAGGTGCGTGGGCCAGATGAGACGACTCGCCGGGCCCGACCAGCGCCGACGCAACTACAGACGGAGTTGAGCCAGGAACGAGAAGCAAGTGGGAACGTCGCCGGTGAGGAGGAGGTGTCCGAGTAGGGGCTGTTCCGTGAGAGATCGGCTGAAAAGACTCAGTCGGGAGGCAAGCGCAACTTGCCAGATGAGGAAGAGCGAGAGGGAGTAGGTGCTCTAAAAAGGCAGAGAAAGGCAGGAGGGAGTGCTCGGACGCCAACAACACGAGAGGGCGGTTCCGTTGAGAAGAGGAAAAGGGTTGGAGGTGGGAATGAAATGCCAAAAGACTCGTCGACACGGCGAAGAACCGGCGAGTCTTCCGGGAAACGGTCGAAATCATCGAGGGGGAAGAAAGCAGATGAGGGCGACAGCGGGGAGGGGGATGACGACGTGGAGATTAACCTCAACGCCTTTAACCTCGACAATGCGTTCTTCCTCGAGATGCAGACAGGGGTGCAGAAGGACGTCGTGTTGCACATCCATCCCGAAAGAATATTAGCTATTCCAGACTGGGAAGACGCGTACAACCACCGATCCTTGGACGAGTTCCTCATTGATACCATCGCGTCGGCTATGATCGACTGCTACGAACGCAAAGACATGAGATACATGAAGCCCATTTTCGTTCTTGTTCCGATCGTCGCGCCTCCAGAGAACGGCGAGCCTGTTGTGCGCGTGCTGCCTGCTGACTTCGACAGCTCACACCTGGAGAAATACTGGTATTATCCTGTGTGTGGACAGCATAACGCGAGGGCGGCGATGATGGTGAAAGACCATCCCGTGTTTGATTACTACAACTTCTGTAAATGGCCGTTCAGACCGATCTACTTCCCTGACGACGAGTTCGACGGCTACGCCCATGTCAGCTGCGAAGACAACATGAAATACAACAAAAATCCACCGCGCTTGCAGGTTTTGTCTATGCGGGACATTCACAATATTTGGAAAATTAAGGGCAAACCGCGTGTGGTGCTCCGTAATGCCTCGAAGAAACAGGACGAGGTGCGAAAGTGGGTGCGGTTCATGGCATTGGCAATGAAGAAGACGCCGTACACGCCTATCTGGAACCTGTCAACGGAAGCAAAGAAAAGAAAGGAATGGGCTGAGAAACTTCGATACTACCTCCCGCTGGTCATGGCAGATGACTCCGTCTTCACTTTGGGGTTGAAGTTCTATGAGGAGTCATTGAGGAGTGGTCGAAAGGGAAACTCCTTGCTTACGATGGCCGACGTTGGACTGAAAAGCCGCCCACCCATGAGGAGGTGGCCAAGCCAGGACTCTCCACTGTGACTGACAGCCAGGGGCTGAAGAAACACGTCTGGTACATGAAGGTGGACAACCCGTCGTTGAAAAAGGGCAGGGGGAAGCCAAAGAAAGGCGCGGAGGAGAAAACTTTCTACGTCCAAGTTCCGGAGCCGGATGTCCACTGCTGGAAGGAATTGGTGGACTTGACGGACCGCGAGAAGAAAAGGCTATTGAACGGCGTCTTGAACCTTAACGTCGTGTGGGTTCAAATGAGTAGCAAGAAGTTGGCCGAGCAGGGGAAGTTCAGTGTCAAGGAGATGGTCGACATAATAAAAATGGACCGGATTATGCTGAAGTTGTGGCACTACGTGGAGTTCGAGTACGAGGAAATGGATAAGCGGGAGTGGAATGCCAACTCCACGTTCTTCAGGTCCAAGAAGCAACTGTTCG